ATGAAGGCCATCGCGGCGCACGGGGATGGGGAGGGAGAGGGTTTAGCCAGCAGCAGGCCTGGCTGCCTTTGTCTCCCCAGTGGCGAAGTTTACACAGTGCACCAGGATAATCATTTATCGCTGAGCAGACTTAGGGTCAGACCATCACCGGGTTCAAGATAAATAACCACCGGTATCAGTAGCCGTGGAGAGAGGAATCGAACTCAGGTTTGCAGGATTCATAACCATGACTCTCCACAGACCACTGCGCAGACAAACACATATGCATCCGTCATTTATATAATGCTCTCTCACACAATCGCCCATTGTTCTCTGTGTAATTCAATATATGAGTAAACACAATTGATTCAAGAATTAGACCTATTAGATGCTTGTCATCGCAGGTACAACCCATTGTTCTGGAAGATGGAAAAGTAATTGACGTTGTGGAAATCAACGAATCTCAAGAGACGCCGCGCAGATAGGCGATGGCTCTTCATTGCTGCATCATTGACCCCCCCCACCCCCCACCCCCATAGATGATTTGTCAGACTGTAGAAAAATATAATTGATTATAAAATACCGCCGTGGCTTTTATGGACTATGTGACAAGGGCATCTTGATCCGATGGTGGTGGCGGCAGACGCAATAATAGAGGCACTCACGACGAGCCAAGGTCTGAATAGCGACATATATATAAATAAATACAACTATGAAAACATTCGTACGGGGGGGGGGGGGAAGACCCGACTACATCGATATTGAAAAGAATAAACTGGAAGGGTAAAAAAAGTCCACCGAATAACTCAGAAAGGGAGTCATGCGAGGTGATATCCTCTCGCCGAGGCTCGCTGATTGACGGCGACATTGGGAAATATTTCCACACCACACGCCAAAGTTTGCAAACCACTTCGCGAGACCACCACTCCAGCCAACTGCGTCGTCTGCCAAGCGGGGAAATGCAGCAGCAGCAGGAGTCAAACCAGCCGATGAGCCGGTGACATCAACATGTTGCCTAAGCTCTGCAGTCCTCCTCTGTCTGCAGGGTGGGCCAGAAGTTACTACCTGCTTTAAAACAAAACAAAAACCCTCAATACATTCGCCAGTAGCAATGCGGCCGACAAAAGAAAGATACTTATAATCGGTGACGTTTCGGGCAATGGTCCTTCTTCATGACACAGAGAGGCCTAAGAAGAGGCACAGCGGATAAGAGTTAGGGGACGGACATTTATATCAGAATTAACATTTTTCAAGCGGTTTAGCGATTAACGGTTTTAACCAAATTATTTAATCTGGAAGCAACATCATCTGTTGACGGTGCACTAAGAGTTTTCCTGCAGCCGGTTAGATTCGCGTCGTTGTCATCAGCAGCCGTGCTCTAGCCAGAATCAGAACATTCATTTATACTGGAGGATTCAGATGAGCTATCAAATACATATTTTCACATGTGCCCAGTAAATCCACTGCTAGATTGAGGCCTCCCCAAGCCGCCGTCACCGCCTCTCGCAAATCCTGCGATGTAATGATCCGATCAGATATCAGCTTCTAGCGTCGCTCCGTCTCCTCTGTTACAGGTCCGAGCAGACGCGTTCCATTCCTTGGCTGCAGCTCCGTCATTACCCTCGGAGGTCGTGCCTCCTCGCTGTGACGGATCCTGCCCAAGCCCTACTCACTTCTCTTAACCGTGCGGATGATGATGATGATGTTGGCAGCACGATGATGTTGTCATTATGATGATGATGATGATGTTGTCATGATGATAATGATATTCTTGGGTCTTTCGGTAAAGCCACGTAGATAGGTTCAAAGAAAATAACAAAAAATAACAAAACATTTTATCATTTTTAGTTTCTTTGAACCTATCTACGTGACTTTATCGAAAGACCCAAGAATATGAATTCCTGCAGTCACGAAAGCTTTAAGTCAAGATGATAATGATGTTGTCATGATGATGATCTTGTCATCATGATGATGATGTTGTCATGATGACGATGATGCTGTCATAATCATTGAGATTATGTTGTTATGCTCATGATGATGTTGTCATGATGATAATGATGTTGTCATGATGATGATCTTGTCATGATGATGATGATGTTGTCATGATGATGATGATGTTGTCATGATGACGATGATGTAGTCATAATCATTGAGATTATGTTGTTATGCTCATGATGATGTTGTCATGATGATAATGATGTTGTCATGATGATGATACCATGATGATGTCGTGACTAACAACCTGCGTCTGTTCTCTAACCCACGTGCCATTCGCTCGGTCTCTCGATGTAATTTCAACAGCGCATCTCGAACGTGGCTTCTTTTGCACAATAAAAGAAAAATTGTGTGTTCCATATTCTTCGTTAAGGACCGCGATTCCGAAAGAACAAAACATAATGTGATATCCACACCGACCGACTATAGCACTTCATAGGCGCAGTGCTAAGCTAGTGATTTATAATTAAGTTGCTTTTGGGTTAGATCACAGTGTCGGTGTAATGCCATTTTTGGAAGCCTACACCACCCGACACAACTAATCGGATCAAGTTGTCGCGTGGGGCGCAAATACGCCCCAATCAATTTTGGGTTTTCAGCAAACCCGGAGGAATGTTGAAAAGCAAAATATATATTTTTTATTCTGTCCGACGTTTCGCTGGAGATTACACCCAGCAGCATCATCATCATCAGGCGTTAACAAACAGTTCAGCTCTCGCATAATTGCGCGTTTCCTGATACTTTGTGGAGGTGCCGTGGTGTCAACACCATCAGTACATCCTTGGAGGTGAACCGGTTTAATGATTCGGGGTTTGATTGCTGGTTTATTGGTTGTGATTGACAGGGTAGATGAGCGTGATAAGGTGTATCTATGTATTGGTTTGTGAAAGTAGGCTATCATGAATTACATTCAGGCAGTGGTTCTAAACCTTCATTGCAGCCTTGCACCCCATTTCTTCTCAAACGTTACACATGCATCATGTTAACATATACATAGGGGGTTTGATGAAACAAAGTAGTTGTACTTACATGTCCGTGCTGAACTTTTTTTTCGGATTATTTACCTTTGAAAACAATCTGGCCATGTCTCGCACACCCAGAAAGGGCATCTTGCACCCCCAGGGGGTGCATCGTGTACCCCAGGTTAAGAACCACTGATAGTTAGGCTATTATGAGGTAGGCTGTTGTTGAAATTTTGGGATTTAGATTGCCGATGATTGTAAAGGAGACGACAGCGTGAATGGATACCCATGGGAAGATCAGTAGGTCAACATGTGACGCATGACATCATAATCGTCATAATCATAATCATCTGCATCATCATTATGAACGTCATCATCTACATCCTCATCAATACCACGATGGTCATTATTAAATTCATCACTGCTTCAACATCATCATAATCATCATCGTGATTGTTTTATCTGCATCATCATCATCATCATCGTCGTCACTATCCATGACGCATGGTTTCCCAAACTCCAGGCGACGTGACCCACCACCACGCTCCATCTTTCCCCATTCATCTCGGTCCACGCTGCACACGCCCAATGATTGCTAAACACGTCCCACGTGACGCACTTAGCAATTAACGCTGTTTGCATCGCGTGGAACGCGTGCACACGCACACACGTGGAACACGTGGAACACGTGCACAAGAATACAAAGACAAAGATCCCCTGTTTAGCCTGAACAGACCGTTCGGGCATGTGCTGTTGGCGAGCACCTATGAAGACCGGCACGGTACACGAGGGGGTGAGTAGCCAGCTCCATGCCAGGCCGCCTTTGTCTCCCCAGTAGCGACTTTTTACACACCGCACCAGCTACTCCTTTGAGGCGGAGTTGGGATCCAACCCGGGTCGCCGGATTTGTAGCGCAGCGCGCTAACAGCTACACCACCGCTCCCGTGTACACACACACGCACACTGTGTGGGGGGGTCTACTGACAGTGTGTGTACGCATAGGAAATGGGGGTTGTGGGGGTGAAGCCTCGATAATAATTGGTCTACATTAGCCTTCAAATGAGTTAGTCCGGCGGTGGACTATCTGTTTGCTTCAACATGTTTATATTAATACTCCTTGATCGTTTCTGCGTGGATTTAATATTGGCCGTTCTGTAGGATTTGCGGGGTGCGTCAATCGTACGTATGTAGTTTGGGGGGGGGGGGGTGGTGTAAAAAGTCGGCATGCTTACAGGGAGGGGGGGAAGGGGTCAAGTTTTGACAGACTTTTGCGCACCTACTAAATGGATGGCCCTTTAACGGGTCACGTGGGACGTGCTCAACAATCATCGGCCGCGTGCAGCGTGAAACGCGTACATTTGTATTTTAATGGCAAAGAGTAAATTTGTAAACGCGGAAATACGGAGCGTGGTGATGGTGGTGGTTGTTGATCGCCAGGAGTTGGTTTGGGAAACCCGGCCGTTATGGTTTGCTACAGACTCCGGCAACCTGAGTTCGATTCCCGATCACGAGCGACAATCTCGCGATACGGTGGCCAGGAGATGTTAACTATCTCGCCCGGTATACAGGAGTTGATGAGTTTGATTCCCGACCCTGACGCCTGCCTGCTGTGTTCGTGGAGTTTTCTCTCCGGGTCCTTCGGTTTTCCCCTACACATTTTCGAATCGACATCACGCGTTTAGAGTTTTTTTGGCTACCGCTATAGGATTCTACATCGGCCACCTCGTTGAGCTATCATTTGTGGCCAGCTCGCTCCTCAAGAAGAGCTATACAGCTCAGCGGGCCTTGCCTGATCAAACGAAACACAGTTTTTTCTTAAGTTTAACACAGCGTATAACATCAGTGGCGAGTGATGGCTTACTTGATCCTGGGCCTATTCCTCCACGACTAGGTCGGCTCAGCCTTAAATGATGAGAGACAAAGGCGGCCGGGCGTGGTTCTGGCCACCCCACCGCGGCTTTGATGGGCACTCGCTCACGAGTCGACACGCGTGGGACATTCTGTCTTCATCATCGGGGACGAACGATTTGTTTGATGCACAACCAACGGCGACAACAAAGTCAACACGTCAACAACAACAACACCACTGTGTTGTGTGGCCTTTGAAAATACAAACATGTAATTGGCGACGATTCGGGCAATGGCCCTTCATCATAGCGCAATGAAGAGTCGGGGAGGCTGCTACGCGCAGACTCAAATTCGTCGACTCGAAGGGGCGCGCGTGTGAAAGTTCGCCTAGCCAATGGGAAGCGACCGTAGGCGTGGCTTAATTGGGGAGCTCCGCCCCTCCCCCGTGTGGGCGGGGCGTGGGGGTGGTCAAGTCAACACTGGAGCAGCGCAGCGCACTCATCCCGCGGGTGGCTCCGTGACCACTCCTCTTGTAACCATACTTCCCCTCCTGTGACCACTCCTCCTGTGACCATACCTCCCGTGACCATACTTCCCCTCCTGTGACCACTCCTCCTGTGACCATACCTCCCGTGACCATACTTCCCCTCCTGTGACCACTCCTCCCGTGACCATACTTCCCCTCCTGTGACCACTCATCCTGTGACCATACTTCCCCTCCTGTGACCACTCCTCCTGTGACCATACTTCCCCTCCTGTGACCATACCTCCCGTGACCATACTTCCCCTCCTGTGACCACTCCTCCTGTGACCATACTTCCCCTCCTGTGACCACTCCTCCCGTGACCATACTTCCCCTCCTGTGACCATGCTTCCCCTCCGATGTCTATACCGACTACACCACATCTCTCCCTCGAGACTATCACCCCCCTCCCCGTACCAGTGACTACTCTCCCCCGTGACCATACCTCCCCTCCCGTGACCATACCTCCCCTCTGGCGACTGTAACCAACCGTCCCGTGACTCTTCTACACCTGCCCGTCACTACACACACACACCCCCTGTCACTACACACACACACACCCCCCGTCACTACACACACACACACACCCTGTCACTACACACACACACACCCTGTCACTACACACACACCCCGTCACTACACACACACACCCCGTCACTACACACACAAACACACCCCCCGTCACTACACACACACACCCTGTCACTACACACACACACACCCCGTCACTACACACACACACACACCCTGTCACTACACACACCCACACACCCTGTCACTACACACACCCCCCGTCACTACACACACAGACACCCCCCCGTCACCACACACACACACACCCCCTGTCACTACACACACCCACACCCCCTGTCACTACACACACACACACACTGCCATTCCCGTGGCCACTTCTTTCCTCCCGCGACTACGACTTCCCACTTCTCTTGCCGTGACTACCCCCCCCCCCATCCCTCGACTCGATATTTCGCATCTCCGTGACTATTAACCCCCTCGCCTCTCCCTTCCCACCATCTTCTACTCCCGCGATCCCCTCCTCCTATAACCTCCTACATCCCGTGACAGCCTCGGCACAGCGGGCGAGCACGTGCACATAGACCCGGCTGACACGCACGCACTGACACATTGACACGGCTATATATATAAGACAGTGAGCGGCGTGACACAAAAAACAACAGGCACACAGCTGGTGAGGGTTCGGGAGGCGGCTGTGGAGCTCTCTTCCCCCCCCCCTCTCCTCTCTCGCTCTCTCCGTCACCGCGGGTAGGAGACCTCGTCGCCCACCGGATCATCAGCAAGGGTGTGTCCGCGATGAGCTGCTTGGATGTGATGTATCAGGCTTACGGTTCGGCCACTGCTTACCTCTCGTCGCCTGCCGCCTACTCCTACTCTCATCCCGCCGCACAGGTGAGTCGAGGAGGAGGATGTGAGGAGGGAGGCAGGCAGGCTTGTCTTGTGCCGCGAAGGGATATCGAGGTCGGAGGTTCGATTGTGCGTAATTGTGCGACTCGAGTGCGAGTGAGTGAGTCTTCTGCGTGTGTTTCTAAGTGCTCGCTATAGCAGCACTTGCCCCAACAGTCCGTTTAAAGACTATACGGGGGAATCTTTGCGTTATTTTAGTGTGTGTGTGTGTGAGGACGTGTAGATGTGTGTGTGTTTGTCATGTGCGGTTGACTGTGTGTGTGTGTAGGTATGCATTAGAGTGTGAATGTAACGCGAGTGTGTGTCTGTGTGCGTTAGACGGAAGCGGTGATGTAGCAATTAGCGCGCTGCGCTACGAACCCGGCGACTCGGGTTCGATTCCCGCTCACTGCCAACACCGGTGGCAATTATTTTAACCTAGTCCTGGGCCTCCCCTGGGTCGACTCGGCCTCAAATGAGTACTTGGTGCGGTGTGTAAACATCGCCACTGGGGAGACAAAGGCGGTCGGGCGTAGTGCTGGCCACCCACCCCCTTATGTGCCGTGCCGACCTTCATAGTAGCTACTCGCTATCAGCACTTTCCACAACAGGCTGTTAAGGCTATACAGGGGATCTTTAACTAATAACTAAAGTGTGTTTGTCTGAATGACTTCACTGTATCAATTCGTGCGTCTCTGCGTGAGCGTATGTGTCTATAACAGAGTTTTTGGGTTAAATCGCATAAATATAAAATGGGTCGAAAGCTCTACGTGTTAAACTATGTGCGTGCGTTTTCGTGTGATCCGAAGTGTATCTGTGTGTAGATGTGTGTGCGTGTGTGTTTAGTATATTAATATAATGTGGCTTGTGTGCGTGGAGCGGTGGTGCATTGGTTCGCACACTGCGCTACGAACCCGGCGACCAGGTTAAAGTGAGTTCGATTTCCGATCACGGCCAACATCGATTGATATCTCAATCGGTTATGGGCCTCGACTAGGTCGACTCAGCCTTAAATGGGTCCCAAGTGCAGTGTGTAAAATATCAGCGAAGGTCAAACATGCGGCCGGAATTGATGCCGTGCCGGCCTTCATCATGTGTTCGCTAACAGCACTTGCCCCAACCGCCTGTACAGGCTATACGAGGAATCTTTATCGTTGTGTGTGTGTGTGTGTTCTCACTGTTTTTATGCATCGATGCGTGTCCGCACCAGCGTCTACGTGTCAGTGTCTGTGTGTGTGCGTCCTTGTCTGCGCGTGGCTGTGTATCCCTGCTGCGTCTGTGCCTACTGACGTGTCTCTCTCTGTGCGTGTCTATTCACGAGTGGCTGTACGAGTGTCAACGTGGATCACTTGCTGTGTCTCCGTGCGTCGATTCATGTGTCTCCGAGTCTTTACACACGCCCGTGCCTGTGTGAGTTTGCGTGTCTGTGCGTTCGTGTGGACATGAGTCTCTGTGTCCATGCATCTGTCTCGGTATAAATCATTCTGGGCGTCTGTCTGTTTTCGTTAAAATTGAAAAACAGGAATCCGGTTGTTTACGTAATAGGACAGCATGTTTTTTTAGATTCTTACTTAACTTCTTCTGCACGGTGGATGTGATAGCTGAACAATATTACACAGACCCTGCCCAGCAAACTCGAGGAAACTGGGATGTTGTTCTTCTTTTATTAAATAAAAAAATAAAAAAATAATCACGACGTTTCGGGCGCAACACAAGCACTCGTCATCAGGTGGTCCCACCTGATGACGGGTGTTGTGTTGCGCCCGAAACGTCGCGATGTATTTGTTGATATATTGCTTGATTTAACTAATTTCACCTACGTGACTTTACCGAAAGAACCAACGAGTATGGATCCTTGCAGTCACGAAAACGTCAAATCTAGAAGAAGGATGATGTTGAACATTCCACGGACAGACACAAGACGAGTGATGTGAACACAGCCAGGCCATACAAATGAGTATCATTGTAGAAAGGCAGAGTTCTATTCCTTGAACGTGTGGTCATGGCAAACACGAGAAGACCGAGTGTGAATGTGTTCTGAACCGGGTGGGGGACATTGGAGGTACGACGAGAAGCGACCAGGGGAAGACGGCTAATTGAGCTGGCACCGCGATTTGGATTGGACTGGGTGGAGAATCGGATGCAAATGTTTGTTGAGTTAAAGGTCGTGTGGGACAGAGCTGCAAGGATGGGGAGGGCACGATCGCCCACCGTCTGTGAGAAAAGAACCGTGGACTCGTAGATAAAGATATGGACAAAATATTGCCCATCATAGACTCACATTGCCCACCGACTCACATTGCCCATGGACCAACCTTGCCCATAAACTAACCTTGCTCACATACTAGCATCGCCCGTACATTTGTATAGCTCGTAGATTCATATTTCCCATAAACTGATATAGCCCAAATATTAACCTTGCCCATAGACTAACATTGCCCGTGGACTTCCATTTCCCGTGGACTTTCATTGCCCGTAGACTAACACCGCCCGTAGACTAACATCGCCCGCAGAATAACTAACAAGTTGTTGAGTACATTACATTGACTCGGCGACATGGCATTGAGGAAATGACCGCGGGCGTCTTTAAGAAGGAACACGCTTCTCGGGGAGAGAGGTGGTGGTGGTGGTGGAGGAGGGGGGGGGGGTCGATTTGAGGAAGTTGTGCGAATTAAGTCAGAAGAGACCCGCGTGTCAAGTTATTTACGACATTCGAGTTTAGCGCCATACCTTGTGAACAGGTCTGACTTCTCTGGCCACGGCGGTGAGTCGCGAAAGCTCTCCACATGAAACGATTCTAGACGAGATATTTCAATGCACTCCCCCCGTCACCCCTCCACCCCCCGCCCTTATGTAATCTATCTCCAACCCGGTACAGAACTACCTGCGGGAGTGAATGAGAATGAGGATGTGTAGTCGTACTGCAGGAGGAATCCGAGGAGCTCTAAAGCTCTTTTTCACAGATGTCCAGTAAAGGTGTGGGGGGGAGGGGGAGGGTGTCACAGGGTCAGAACGTTGCAACAGCAGACAATACGATAACACGATAGGCGTGCAAAGCATAAGAATGGTAAACAAATTGCTTAAAACAATACACAAATTAAACTAAACAATTTTATCTTAACAGGTAAAGCCCACTAGGCCATTGGCTTCTTTTCTCAGAAGCGACCTGGCGACAAAATAATAGCTGAACCGAGTGGGCGTATTGTGTGGACACTGATAGCAGCCAAATAATATAATCTAAACACATGTGTCTACATGTGGAGGGAAAACCCGAAGGACCTGGAGAGAAAAAAATCCACGCGACCACGGCGAGAAAGAGAGAGAGACGCGCAAACTGCAAATACACAGCAGGCGTCAAGGTCTGGATAGAACCCCCGACATCCTGCATACCAGGCGAGGTAGTTAACATCTCGCCGCCGTGAGAGTGACACCACTGAGCAAGAGTGTGAGATGTCACAACGAGATGCGTCTCACGAAATACATTATTCCCGTAATTTGTTTTCATTCGTCTACCAGTAAGTAACCATCATAGTCCGCACGATAACGACGTAATGATGAATAAATAATGCCGTGCTTGATGGATTGTAACATCGCAGGATCGGGGGAGATGCGGGCAGACCTTTCATCCAGCAGTGGATTGACCAAGGCTAGTGATGATGATGATGATGGTGATAACCATGATCGTGGTGGCCATCACCATCATCATCGTGACCATCATCATGGTGGTCTCATCAGCTCTCGGAAGCTGAGCAGGTTTGAACCTGCATAGCGCTTTGCATGACCACCAAAACACACACCGGATGACATTAGGTTCGCGGAGCTACGTGGTGATGGGCTAGTGCTTCCACGTCTTCACCAACCCTCACTGCCCATCGTGTGGTGAAGTATGGTCAATCAGACCCCCACGATTCCCTCTGTATCGTCATCCACGCAATGCCACGTGTGCCGGAGTCTCACGACTCTTTTTTCAGGAGGGTGGTGGTGGTGCTTCTGCTGCTGCTACGCCACTGGGGTGTTTGGCAATGTGAGGAAACGACTACGGTGGCGAGATGGGCACCACGGTGGCTCGGAGATGTTAACTCCCTCGCCTGGTACGCAGGAGGTTGTGGATTCGATCCCGACTCCGACGCCTGCTGTGTATTTGGAGTTTGCGGTGTCTTTCTCTCTCTCTCTCACCGTAGTCGCGTGGATTTCTCTCCGGGTACTCCGGGGTTTTTTTCCCCTCCACGTTTAAGAATCAACATCACGCGTTTCGGGAAATTTGCCGGCGATACATTTCCACGTGATGAGCCACTTCGTTGAGCTATCATTTGTGCTGGCCAAGTCGCTTCTGAAAAAGAGCTATACAGCTCAGTTGGGGCCTTACCTGGTAAGATTAAAAAAAAAATCGTTATTTTTTAGTTTAACCGGAGGAGCCCGGGGACAACCCAGCAGCACCGCGCGGCTGCCCAAGAGAGGGAGATGACCGGCACCGCCACCCCCTGGCCTCACCGCGTTGCTTCCCCCACGCCTACAACACCTGGCAAGCCCTGTAGGCGGTGCTGCTGCTGCTGGTGCTGGTAGTTGGGAGAGCGGTGGTGCAGCTAAGAACCCGGCGACCCGAGTTCGATTCCAGCTCACGGCCAACACCGGTGACGATTATTTGAATCTGACCTGGGCCTCCCTTAGGTCGACTCGGCCTCGAATAAGTACCTGCTTGCGGCGTGTAAATATCGCCACTAGGGAGACATGCGGTCGGGCGTGATGCTGGCCACCCACAAACACTCGCGTACCCTTCCGGCCTTTATAGGTTCTCCTCGCTGACATCACTTCCCCCAACAGTCTGTTAAGGCTACACGGGGGATCTTTATTTTTGTCTTTTTGGTGTCGGCGGTCGGCCATCCAATGACTCGCCAGGCTCAACGCCGGCTTGGCTTCCGGGAGGTCCGATGACACCGGACACATTCCCGGTTGTTTGGGGCAAGTGCTGTTCGCGAGCACTTATTAAGGCTGGCATGGTACGCGAT